TATTTATACTTTTCTCTTTTCACTTACTTAAACCTACCTCTACCATAACAATAGATATTTGCTCTCAATGAGATGTAAACAGACCATAAACAATCAAACGTATCCGCGGCGACTAGCGTAGCGAGCAGACGTGTCGACATTATTTTCGAAAATATTTCAAAAAGTGATATTCAATAACTAACCATAAAGACCCTAAAATACAGTGCAATATCCAAAAACGCCCAAATCGGAAGAGCGAAGAGGACAGAAAGCGCATCAACGACGCGCCCCGATCGCAGTACTCAGAACCCGTATTCACATTAACCGAGCGGAGCGATAAGCGGAGCGAGTTTTGTTGCAGTGCGGTATGAGTGTCAAACATTCGCCATCTAAAAATATGAATGTAAGTGGACAGACCAGTACCTCCCAGCAGGAACTACCACAGCTTAATGCTGCTGACATTGAGCGAAGAAATGTAGCACAACGTAAGAAGCGAGTACGGGATGATGACTATGAACGCCAATTCAGTGAATTTAAAATGGAAATACTGCAGGTCATCGCTGAAGCTGGAAAATCTCAGACTGAAGGTATTAATATGATACAAAAAGACATCTCATCCATCAAAAACCAACTAACAGATATTAAAACTACCACTGAACAATTAATAATCGAAAACAGAGTATTTAAAACACAAATCGAGAACCTTTCTCATACTGTGTCTGATACCCAAGAGAAAATAAAATCCCTTGAAAATGATGTGAGTGTACTTCGAAAGAATCAAGATAAGCTCTCACTTATGGAACATCCTGTAGCATCAACCTCTCAAGTAGATTTACTTGAAGAATTAGAACAGCGCCTAGAACGCAGCAAAAATTTAATAATCGCTGGAATTCCTGAACCACATGATAATAATATAGAAAACAGAAAAGAATCAGACAGAATCGAAGTAATGAAAGTTATTACCGACATATATCCTGAATGTCCGAACCCTGCAAAAATAATACGTCTAGGCAAATATAATAGGAGTAAGGATCGTGCACTGAAGGTGTGTTTCTCATCTCAAGAGGCTGCAAAAACGATATTGAAAAAGAAAACTAGCATCAAGAATCCTAATATAAAAATGTACAGTGACCAGACACNCCCAGTTGCTTACACCCTACCATATGTAGGTTTTGAGACAACTTTTAGGGTGTCAATATACACGTATTTACAGACTTACAGCTGGGTATCTCGAATTCCGAGGTGAACTTACTATAATGACTGGACTAAGATTGTATTTCACCTGATGGTAAGTGGTGATCAGGCCGAAGGTGGAAACGAAGTTCACCCGGAATCCTCAACCACGACGGAACTGGCTATCTTACCTCTAGCTGCCGGAACACAACAATACTGTTAACATTGTTGTTATGGCGACAGACTTAGATAAGATGGTGGTAGCTAGCCAAGCCCAAGCGGACTTAGAACAAGCCCTACCACCAACCAAACCGAACAGAAAAATCTGCCCCCACTGGGAATCGAACCCGGGACCTCTGCGTCTGAAGCAGGTGGTCTTACCATACCACAAGACCACAAATTAAGGTGGATAATCATGACTTTAAGCATTTTATGTTTGTTTGACCATGATCCTTGCCCGCTCCATAGTTTGTAGTCAATGACAGTGATTCTACAATTATTTTTTTTACAAGTTTCACAGCTTTGAACTACAGCAACTATGATCACCTTGTATTCTTGTCAATTGCATTTTGACACATTCTCATCAAAACGGTAAAATATCAACAAAATTATATCTTTCACCTGTCAAAAAAGTAGATTCATTCATTGATCGTATCAAAATCTTTAATTTTGCTATTAGATTTAAGTTTCTTTGTTTCTCTAAATCATAAAAACAAATGGATTCGTCATCAATTGTAAGTTTCAATAATGATTCTACATTTCAATCAACACTAAAAGGCGATTATAATAATGTTAGTGTTCACGAATTGGCATTACACGCAATGAGAGATCGATGTTTACTGCTACAACGGAGAATCAATGCTCTAGAAAGTGATAACATGCGTTTAAAACTAGACATTACTAAAGCTAATGAAAATACCCCATACATCCCTCTACCCGAAGATGAAAAGTTTCAGCTGCAACAAAAAATCGCTGAATTAAATAAACAGAAATCCCAGCTCTTACATCATGTTTTTATGGTTTCTTGTGAAAATAAGAATCTTTGGAATAAAATATCGGCTATCAAAGGGCCAGAAAAAGCTACTAAAGAATATACTAAGCAACCACTTGCACGGGCTAACACATATGTGCACAGTACACCAAAAACAAGTGCAAACTATCAAGAAAAATATTCCGAATCTAGCTTAGAAGAGATATCACTCAAGTTAATAAATAGCTACATCCAAGAGAAGTCACAATTAGTGGAACAATATGAGCAAATGGCACAACTTCAAGATGCTGATGATGAGAATTTTCTGAATGTCGAATCTATAGGCTTTGCTTATATGGAAGACCCAGCTATGGACTCCCTAAAGGAGATTCATTTACATACTGAGAAACTGCAAAATCTTAAAAAAGAACTTGCTCAACAAGAGCAAGACCTAAAAGTTGTGATAACAAGAATAGAAACTGTATTAAAAGGTATTTCACTATTCTGATTGTGTTTTTGATTACTAATGCCAAAACTGCTATCCTTGCATAATCATGTTGGGATGTTATTATGCGTTTTATAATAATGGCATCTTTCTTGTTTACAGAAGGCTACAAATGTCCAACTTGTATTGCAAACAATACTAAAATTATTACATCTGAACACAAGGAAATTGAAACAAGTGATAGTTTAGCAAATTGGGCTACGCCAGTGGAATCCAGCAACTACAATAACTTCAGTGACCTGAACACATCGGCTTATAAAAAAAATATAGATAAAAATGACAGTGAAAGTAGAGCATGTCCTAATAAAGTATGTCCAATGTGTGGACAAAATTTTCAGGAAGATGTAGCTTTTACAGAATTCCAATCGCATGTTGAAAATCATTTTATTGGAGAAAGTGAAGCAGATTCTGTTATAGACAACTTTGAAAACGTTCCATATTCTTTTGATCCTGTGATATAATATTCCTATTAATTATTATTATTTTTGTTAAATGTAATTTATTTTGAATAGAAAAAGGAATCTGTTTTGTAAGAATTATGATATAATAATTATTTCTACTAAATGCAGTTTTTTTTTTAAATTTTTACACCTAGCAACTACTCTATCCATTTGTGCTATTATTCTATTATGGTGAGAGAGATAATCTGAAAGCCTTCTCATTTGATATTTTTATTATTTATTTAGAGCAGTATATTTTGGCATTTAGTGTTGGGATTGATGAATAAAAATAAACTGAGATTAAACCTTTTATTTATTTTATCAATGATTAATGATAACTAATCTAACACTTAAGTTTTTTTTCATACTCTATGCTAAATCTGTGGGTTTTACATCTTTAGAATCTGAAGGTTCTTGTGTAGACTTTTGCAGCAAGTTTTTGCTGAACCAATGTGGTCTTTCCTTTTTCATTTCTATAATCCTTTTGCCTTTCCAGAATTCTTTGGGCTGTAATAATTATAATACAAATAAGTAAGTTGTTAACACAGATCAATAAAACAAAATACAGCTAAAGCAATTACAATATTAAAGATTTACCCCCTTACTAATAAAAAGTTACACAGTTGGTGAGCACTGTTTTAAAATGACATTTCCATACTAAACGTCACTTTAAAACACTGTTCAACGAGCGTGTAAGTTTTATTAGTAAGGGGGTTAGATTATTATGATTATGAAATATACATGCCAAAGTATCTTCAGTTATTAAAATGCATATAAGATCTTTAACCTCTCCTATGCTTTGTCTCAGATCTGTGCAACCTCTGTCAACTGCTATGTCTCAGATCTAAGACAAGACTACTTTGTCATTTGAAACATCATTTGAAAACCGTAGCAGTTGGCGGGTGCAGTTTTGCGCGGCTCAATAGCACGCCAAAGGTTAAAGCTGTTGAGATATCACAAACATACCTGATCTGGGACATTTTCTCCTTCATAAAGTACAATTACTTCTTTGTCAATCGGGCTGTTACTCAATTTTTCAACTATTTTCTCTTGTATTTCTTTAGTTTCACTTTCAATTTTTTTGTAGCAGTGTCCTGAAATAAGTAACATTTGTGGCTTACATAATGATGTACCAGCTGAAATTTTTGAAATTAGCGACTATTAATGACTGCTGAAGACAGAAAAAACATACCACAAAGTCTTCCCGATTCATAGTGATGGCCACATTCTTTGCACACCAGAATGTTTGTTTTAGGCTGTAATATCTTTAGTACATATTGTGGTGAACCAAACTTTCTTTTCAAACGCTTCTCAATAGTTCTCCTAAATTTTGGAACTGCCATCAAAAAACCATCACCAATAATATCTTGTAGTGAAAACTTTCTGGGTGCTAACGGCGCAGGATTATGGACATAGGCTAACGCCAGCTCTGTAAAGGATAATTTAAATTATAATTTTTAACTACATTAACAAAAGAAGAAAAGGCTGATTACATTTTTACCAAGAAATATCTATCTAGCTAGAGTATTATGTACTCTGTTTACTTCCTTCCTACCTTTTGGTGGCTGTCCGAAAAAACTATTTAGAACATTATGTTCAATTCGACGAATTACGTCTATAAAACGAGATAGGCGTGGAATCATTTTATTAATAAATGAACGTGGAGATTAACATGAAAATATTATTTCAGCAATCAGCATTCAGTCAGGCCAATTTTTTTAGGTTATAATTTTTTTTTAATTTAATGAAATGTCAAGTCAACCTTTTTTTTTAATTGTCAACCCTTAAATGCTTGTGTGATAAATAAATTGCAATTGAATAGTCCGATGATCAATTGAATTGATTGGTATTCTCGGTCAGAATATTGACATTGGTGACAGGAAACTTTTTCGTAATGGCAACTCAGATGAAAAATGGCGTTTGACAATCAGCTGTATGAAAGTGGGGAGGAAAAGGCGAACGTCTGTATTTTACGTTCGTTATGTAGTTCATGTCCTCAAGCGTATCGTTGCAGTTGTAACTATGGCGTGTTTAAGTTCCAGTAGGCTCTGTGCTCGTGTTCAAGATAAGTTATTGTGTCAATTTGGACATAAAGTTCGAAGGCAAACTGTATTTGTGAAACTCAAACCCCCTGGACCTTCTCCTTTGCGGATATTTGGAAAGACTTGCCAGGTTAGTTACTTTTTAATTTTATTTGTTTAAAAATATTTATTTATTCCTAGAACTTAACAAAGTTGTTATTTTTATTTATAGTAAATATATCAGAATGTTAAATCATGTCATTCTTAATGAAGGACTTTTTACATAACCGCAGGCATGACATTAACCTCTACGTCAGCTGATCGTAAGATTTCAGTAGATTTCTGACTGAATCTATAGAAAAAAAATTGGCAAATGTAAAGATCAGACATGATCATCATAACAAGTGTACATTATTCAGCGCAGTAAACGAATTTATTGTAAATGGTAAAAGTGAAATCTTCGCGTGTCGGTGGATAGTGGATAGGTTCGTGCGCGCGCGACACAGGTTTGTTGGGTTTGCTCAATGATTTTCACTCATTCTTGAAGGTATTTCACTTTTACTTTGCACAAACAAGCTCTGTTGTTTCAGATAATAAATCTTTTGAATGTACTGTGGACATCAAATAATTTGAACAAGATTCTAATCAGTAAAATGTGATTTTGCTATTAGAATCTAATCAGGAACACTCAAAAGGAATTTTTATTTTTGCTTAGACTTGTGGGGATTAATACTAATGAATGTTGTTAGTAAAGTAATTATGGTAGGTCTAGGTATTTTGATTGCGGGCTATGGCCGGCGTCGCCGCCAGCCGCCGCGCCCGTGTGTGACAGGCACCCGCGCCGCGTCTTGCTTTCTCGCGCAGGCCGCAGCGTGCGCGCATGCAATGTCCAATATCGACGACTAGCGCAAAACTTTCTAAGCAACAATTATTTTTCGCATTAATATTTCATTTGCTCCTTCATTCGCAATTGATTACAGGTCGATTTCTTTAGTTTGTCCTCATTGGAGCTGAAGAGTTTTTTCAAAGCGTTAAAATATTTCCAAGCCAGATATGTTTTAGATTCTCTAATAATTGACTATTAAAGTTTGTTTGCTGTTTAAACTATATTAGGTAGATCCCTATAAGATTTTATAAAGAAATGTTTGGTCAAACATTCTATGGTCAGTGAAAGTTGTATGATGATGCGTTGAATTTTTAATAGCTCGAAATCTGGGTAAGTAACCTGTTGAAGGAGTGTTATTGCCTTTCTTATTTTATTCTAGTCCATTTGGCGAGCATTGACCTCGTTTTGTCGCGAGACATTTGCACCACTCGGGCTATCGTGCTTAGATGTTGCGTGTCGTCTAGATCCTTTTTTAGGAAACCTTGTGGTTAAATGCTCAGGCTTTAAAAGAAGCAAGCAGAAATAGTTTTCTTGATCAATTTCTGAACCTTTCGTTAATTCTTCCAGTCAGTTTTTGATTTGCTAGAGCTGCTAGCTGAAAAGTCGTAGAGTTTGGGTGCCAGGACTGCCAGGCAAGACAAGCAGGTCCTACCGTTGATTCTTAAAACAGTCGAAAACTATGTAATGGATTTCTTATTCTTATAACTTCGTCTTCAAAGGAAAAGTTATGCAGTATACCCTCACTGATTGTTTCCGTTTCGAAGAAATAAGCTAGATATGGTTCGAGTTTGATGTTTGCAGGTTATTTGGGTGGACGCTTGAATGGGCCCGCCACGTAACGTCCTGCGTAAATGAAGCTCAGTAGAAATGCGGAACACATAACTATTTGTTCAGTCGACATCATTGTATAAGAGTTTGCGGCAACGCATACGACGTAGCATATGTTATTTTCGACTTACAACATTTTCTTGAATCCTAAATTACGTGATGACAATACAAAAGGGCATAGAAAGCTGGAAAGTCATGTTTACGGCCATCTACGGCGATTCGTTTGATGTTCCTATTGATGCTAATAGTGTAATTTAGTTTTTTGTAACTCATTGTTTCATGGTCAGGAATTTTCGCAATACTTCGTCACATCATTCAATTCTAACATAGTATATTTGATTTTGATGTAAATTACGCAAACTTGATATCTCGTTGGTCGTTGTAAAAGCGTGGGTTAATATTGTGACATCGAAGACCACAACCTTGTGTCAGCAACGGTTTAAGAATCCACCAGTAAGAAGCGATGTTTTTAAACGCAATCAATACTACAGTATATTATAGCGTATCTCACGATCTTTCTAATAAGATCTAATTTGGTAGGTAACATCAAACTTTTCTCTAAGCCAAAATGACAATAAGAATTAGAGAAAAAAGCTCTACTTAACAACTTAAACACTGAAAATATTAATCTTATATTTGACTATATTCGGACACTCGTCATTATTGTCATTAGGAAAACAAGTGAATCCAACTTACGAAAACGGAACGGCCAGACACCGCAAGAATCAATAGGTAATATAGAATACCTAGGCTATAACTTAGATACTTAATACATTTTTGTTACAAAACCGAGCCTCGAAATGCTCGTAGCGATTTCAAGCTGTTTTAGTTAAATTAACGACGGCTGTTTCTTGCTTGATGTTACTGCCAATAACTTATGACAATGAGCAAATCGCCCAGAGGATCTTAAGCGTGATAGAGTGACGTCTTGTCAAATATATTTTCATACTTAACCAAAGAGGGGGCACTATTTACTGCGTTGATTGCTACTCGGCGTCCTTGCAATGGCTGCATGCGCAGGCTAGGTTGGTACAATTGGGCAACTGCGTTTCGGTCGGCTCTTGCAAACAATGAACTCATCAACGATGTCTGTTCAACTATTAATTGCCGCCGCTTGCGCGCAGGACGCAGTTATTTGATAAGGACCTACACTTCTATTGAGCAACGGATAATGTATGATTTACACTCGCAATTTTAGAGATCTCCCCAGATGATAACTTCAAATGTGGAACTAAACTTTATGTCATTGAAGATAGATGTAATTGAGATGCGCGTGACGAGTATGAAGAGTTAATTATTGGGTATGTTTTGAGCACAAACGTTGACGTCCTTGTAATAAACTTCCATATTTTATGGAAACTTAAATAACCTTGGAATAGCCATCGTAGCAGATACATCTAGTGATGCTCATAAAATTCATGATTATTATGGGCTATAAATAATAAGCATGTTCGAATTTTTGAGAGCGTGACAGAGTTATTTTGTAATGCACCTTGGCTACATCGCTTGCACAGTGCAATTCTTTTAAATGAAGCAGCGTTGCATTAGTGGATGTTAAGATTGTATGTACATAAATATAACCTAGAGGTATTTAATGGGCATTGCGATGTTTCCGCGAAATCGCGTTTCCATGCCAATGCCAATACTCTCTAAAAGGATCTCTTATTTCCATTTGTTCAGTAGGCTCTGTAGTGGATATTGAAATTTGATTTTTTTTCCAAGGATTATGTTATTAGTGCGTTTCCTTATTTGTGTGTTTTCTTGTCTCGCTTTGTTTTTAAATTGTACTCTAACCAAGGTTATAACTTTCAATGCCTGCAACGCAAGGGCATTTTGTTAAAATTCCAAAATTGATAAATTGCGGCTCGTAATTATTAATCCTGTGATATTTTAAAAAATAAAACATTTTAGAGTAGGCTTTGTTTATTTTCAAAAGATTCGTTTTGTTTTTTCAACGAGCGAATGACACAGACTATATCATAAGTTGCAATCAGGTTGAAATTCTCATTTTAAACTATTGTAACGCGTTTTTACGTAGTTTTACATGAAAAATGATCTCTGACCCTCTCAGATTGTTATTTATTATGTCTTTTCATGACACATAAAGTGCCCAACAATAAACCCCGTAATCATGTATTGTAAAGTCAAAATAGGTAATTACTTTTATGAGTAGTCGTTTATTCCAGCTTTAATTAAAATCTAATTATTTATTTCGATAAAATCTCACCATATCCATTTAATTTCACAAGACTTTCTTTAAGTACCTGCTTATAGTAATTAGGTAGTTTATTAGGTAATCTAACACGATATTATAATAAAAAACTCATTACAGAATTCTTGAAATTAGCCAGGCAGTTTAACATCAGTATGACATGCTGCTGTAATAAAAATTTAAAGAAACTGACATCTTCAATATTTGTAGTGAAATTCTACATAACACTTCTCACCTAAGAATACGAACGACTAAAAATAATTTGGGTAAATATCCTGGCTTAAAATGAAGAATAATAAAATCGTAGCTTCTGTTAGATAGAGCTTGCGTATCAGACAAAAATAAAACATAATTCAATATTTTGGTAATTTTCTGTCGTAAAACAAACGAAAACGTTATAATTAAATTGCATTGATGATATAGTATTTTCCATCAAATTAATCGGCCATGCGACCGTCATATTTGTTAGAAAATCTCTTAAATCGGTGCGCGCACGCCAAGGCGTTGCATGCGCGCCGCAATTTTACCTGCCTCCACATAATCACGGCTTAGTATGATATTGACCCTTTTCGACTGACCCAGACTCGGGCGATTATGTAAACAGATGTTTACCGTTGACATCCAGCTAAGCCCTCATTAGGATTCTGACAACTTAAACAAATACCTACAAGTATTAAGTAACGTAAGCACACAGCCATGAAACTTTTATTAGGGCGTAGTTTAATTATTATGGTCGTCATTAAAATAATATTTCCGTATTATTATTTGTAGTATTTTATGATTTACTGCTCTCAGCATTAATGTGGCATTGATCAATTGTAACTTGAATTTATTATAATGAAAAATGTGTCATTAAAGCATTGTTACATCTGTGACGTACGATTCCCATTAACTTAGTAATGAAATTTATTACGAACTTGCCTGCCTACAACTATATTAAATTTTGTTGTATGATGGGGATATAAATTGCTTATTCTTAAATGTATTTACTTAACGCTAGGTTTAAATTGTTGGTCTTGAGTGGTGATCAACAACTGAAATTACTAAGGAATGAATGAGCCGAGTATAACTTTGTATTAACCTAATTTCGCTTTGCATGCCGTCTTGATTGCCGTCTGTGCTACGCGATTACCGTGGAATTATGACTTGTAGGTATTTTTCAATATTCATTATGATAATTTAACCCATTATCTGTCTATCTTTAATATTATAATGCAAACCTTAT